CCTTCGGACTGGCCTCGGGGCGCGACGGGGACGAGTGATTCATAAGGTAAATGAATGGAGGAGAAGGAGGAGGAGGAGGAGGAGGAGGAGGGGGAGGAGGAGGAGGAGGAGGAGGAGGGGGAGGAGGAGGAGGAGGAGCAGAAGGAGGAGGAGGAGGAGGAGGAAGAGGAGAGGGAGGGGGGGGAAGAGGAAGGGGGGGGGGAAGGGGGGCCCGGGGGCGCGGCGCAGCGGCGCGAGGCGCCGCCGTAGGAGGAAGCTCGCGGGAGCGGGCCCAGAAAGCTCCGTCCTCCTCCTCGATCCCGTCGTCGTCGTCGTCGTCATCGTCGTCGTCGTCGTCGTCGTCGTGATCGTGATCGTGGTCGTGGTCGTGGTCGTGGTCGTGGTCGCGGTCGTGGTCGTGGTCGTCGTCGTCGTCGTCGTCGTCGTCGTCGTCGTCGTCGTCGTCGACGTCGTCGTCGTCGGGTGGAAAATATGTTTCTAGAAACAAATTACAATTTCCGCCAGCAGTGCAGGGCAGGGCCCAGGGAAGGGCAGGCGCGCGGCCAGGGGAGGCGAAGAAACTCCCGGGACTGGCACGACAACAACGGCGCGCCCTTCTCTCTCTTTGCACGCCCTTCCCTCTTCTCTTTGCACGCCCTTCCCTCTTCTCTTGCCCCCGCCCAACCCCCATCTCTCTTTGCGCGCCCTTCCCCAAAAAGTGCTTGCACTTATGATTTCTTGGCCAGGTTCCAAAGGGATTGGGGTGCCCCTTCGAGGGTTCGCCACACCCGTGGCGCGTCTTGTGACTCAGTGTTTGGGGCCCACGCTGCTCGCGTTTGATATGTTTTGAGACGCGGCAAGAAGGGTTCACCTGAAACGCAGTGCAAACAGTTCTCTGTACCAGCGAACGCCTGCACATATGACATAGCGCATCACGCCGCGCACTCCAGCTGTTGCGCCATGGCATCGCTGAATGATTCTTTTCGTGCGGCCTACCATGTCTTCGTCTGTGTATGCCTGTGTTTTGCGCGGGTTCGCCTGAGGGGCGAAATCGTATGCCAAGTGACTTGACATGTGAGCTTTGGGAACAATGTGGTAATATTGAAGATTGCGCGCGACATTGATGTTGCACAGAGCGTTGAGGCACACGAGCGAACGTTCCATGGCCTCTTGCGATTCTGCCAGCGCCGCTGGCTCCAAGAAACGCCCCTGGTCCGAGTAAATGCGCTCGTAAATACATATGTTGTGAAACATGCAGTGCCGGACCTGTTTGTACATTGTATCGGATACCCCAGGCCGGGCGCACACATCCCGCAACCATTCCATGATGTATCTCATCTTTGTACCTTTCGCAGAAAGTTGAGAAAATACAGGTTTCTGTGCGTGTTTATGGATCTTTTTGTGATCGAAACGCGGCGGCGGTTCGAGGTGGCGGGCTTGGCACCACGCCTTGTGGTCGGCGTAAGCTAGCCTCCATCGCTCTCTGATGGTACCTGCCACCCAGACGCCTTCAGCCACCAATTCCGCCAGGCAAGAAGCAGCCGAATATTGGTACTGGCCCAAGTCGAGATTGTGGGCTGCGTCCACCCACACCCTCCACACGTGAAAACCTGGTATCTCCAGCAACGGGCACCGATCTGGGCCAGCGTCCCTCATGAACTCTTCATGCGTCGTTAGCCTTCCACGCAATACCGAGTCACGCTTAAATTGCGTGAACAAATGTCGTTCTCGGTGTTTGTGGGCCCTGCAAAGATGACAACAAGCATTGGCACCATAGTGTTGTTTCAATCGCAACGATTCGACCAGATATTTCCAATCACCGCGCATCTCTGAGAACACTCCGACGAAATCACCTGCTATCCGATTGCCCGCCAAACGCGCGCGATCAGGGTAATACCCTGGTCCGAACCTGCGGCCATCATGGTCAACGTCGGGGTACTCCCCAATTGCCAACCACGTTAAACTCCATTTCCAAACTTTGTAAATTGCAGGCAACGTGATGTGAGGAACTGCGCGGGAGTACGCCACGGCAGTGAAAAGCAGCCTGCTGATGAGAGTTGGATGGTTCTCCACAACGCCCCCCCACAAGAGAACTAAGATTTTCTCGTTCTGGTAAACGCCAGCGTCGTCGCCGTAGATCCCATGCGGTATCGCGTGCAACGGGTCGTGACCAACCTCACGGACGGGATGTTTCCGAAACCAATCGGACGTTTGAGATTTAGCCCAAAATTCAGCCAGCTCCCCAGGCCCGCCGGTAAACATGTGTTGCCAAAGTTCGCGCCCGTGTGTATACAGAGAGCCGAACAGCTCATGGGGAAGAAGACACGCATGCACCGCCTCGTCGAGGTGCAAGCCGTCGTAGGTATCAGGAATACGAAACTCAAAGAGATCGGGCATCAGGCAGCGCCAATTCTGCCTCTGCACCCAGCGATGCAGGTCCCGCTCGCAGTGACTGCCATGGGCGATCCTGGCAATATCGCACACGTGACTGGGGACGCCTTGGCAGTTCCGCACAATGGCTTTTGCGATGCGCAACAGACGAGACACCGACCCAGCACCCTCGCCAATCAGGCACAACAATTCAAGCTCCAGCTCGTCTTCCGATAACAGATCCTCGCCGTCACCAGGGTCCATCGTGCCGAGCAGAGCTAACGTACATTCCAAAGTTTGCAGACTAGCGAGCTTGAGCCAAAACGGCTACGGAAAACGCAGGTCCCCTGGTTTACGTAACTGGCTGATCCGACCCCCGAGGACCCAGGAAGAACCCTAACATCTGCGTGCGTAGTAGTAGTAGTAGTAGTAGTAGTAGTAGTAGTAGTAGTAGTAGTAGTAGTAGTAGTATAGTACAGTATAGTATAGTATAGTAGTAGTAGTAGTAGTAGTAGTAGTAGTAGTAGTAGTAGTAGTAGTAGTAGTAGTAGTAGTAGTAGTACGCCGAGTCCTCAGCAAGCCTAGCCAGGGAAAGCATCGCCCGTCAGAGACGCTCGGGTGCGGAGAGGCGCCAAAGTTGAGCAGGCGTGGAAGGGCAGCAGGGGGGGGGAGCGGGAGGGGGGGGGGAAGAGGAGGGGGGGGGCGGGGAGGAGGAGGGGGAGGAGGAGGAATAAGGCACTAGGCCAACTCGAGCACCCGACGGGCCGACGCTTGGACGGGCGGCGTGCCGCTCGATTCGAGAGCTCTTTGATATTCATCATCCTTATGCTGCCCCTCTGTCTCCAATTCTTCGCCCACCCCATCCCCCCTCGCCCGCGCCCTGCTCCTCGCCGCCCCGGGAGGCGAGCCGAAGTTGCCCCTTCGCCGGCCAGGGCGGGGCGGCGGGGGGCAGATGGAGGAGGGGGGGGCGTTTTCTCACAGCTCTGCCAAACCCCTGGCGAAGATGTCTGATGTCAGCAAGCCGCCTAGGCGCATGCAATGCCCGTGCGTGAGGGCGTGCGCGCGCGCGCGTGCGCGTTCGACTCATTGAGAGTGCATGCGCGCGCGTGTTCGGGCAGTGGCTCGCGAGTGCTGGCACTTCGCGCACTGGCCTTCGAGCGCCGCCGCCCGTCCGCAACCCAACCTGACAGGGCGACAGCGGGGGGCGTTCCCCGACGCATCTCTGCGGGCGCAGAGACGCCCCATGGCAGCTGAGACTGCGCGGACGACGAGGCGACCCCCCGAGACAAGAGTAGCGTGACACAGTAGCGTGGGGCGGGGGGTTATGGATGGCCGCAGCAGTCCTAGCTGCCATGAATTACACACCCCATTCAAAAGTCGCCACTGGGACGAGCCTCGGGGGGAGTGCGAGGAGGAGAAAGAAGAAGGATAAAAATGATATCAGGAGGAGGAGGGGGAGGGGGAGGAGGGGGCGTTCTCTGTCGAAAGTGGGTCGTTCGGGCCCCTCGGCCCCGGGTCGGGAGGTGAGTCGTTCGGGCCCAAGGGGCCCAAACGACTGACTCACCTCCAACCGAGAATCAAGGGGTCCGAACGACTCACCTCCGACCGAGAGCGCGGGGCAGAGTACGAGTAGAAACAGCTAGAGGAGGAGGGGGAGGAGACATAGTCAGGCATCGACCGTTGCCTCAGCCGAGATCCGCAGACTCGTCGGGCCCGCCCTCCTCGCCCGCCGCTGGCTCATCGTCCTCCACCGGCGATGTCAGCGCCTGGTACTTGGCCTCGACAGCCGCGTCCCAGTTCGTGGCCCATGGCTTGTTGGGCGGCTTAACTCCCTTGTCAACGGCAAGAAACTTGCGGCCATCGTTGATGTCCTCCCCGAGCTCAGCCAAGCTCTGTTTGATCGCGCCGTAACTCTCCGCGACAGCCTTGGCGCCATCCGAGGCCTGGAGCTCGTGGAACTTGCCTGTGCGATCGAGGGCAACCCAGCCCCGTCGACATCGCCCCTCCGACCTCGCCCCTGCCTCAGGGCATTCAGACCTTCCTCCTCCCCCCCCCCCTCCCCCCCCCCTCATCCTCTTCCTTCATCCTACTCCCTCTTCTTCCATCCTCCTTCATCCTTCTCACGGTCGGGCGAGGTCAGGACTAGCGGGTCGGGGGGTGGGGGCGCTAAGATCGGCCGGGGCCTGCAGCCCCCGACACGACATCGCAGTTCTTCGTGATGCTCTCGATGAGGGCGTCCTTGTACTTCACCTGGGGCCCCCTCCACCTCCTCCCCCCCCTGCTCCTCCTCCCCCCTGTACTTTGCCTGGGGGGCGACCCCCCCTCGACGACGATCGACGACGACCGACGACGATGACGATGACGACGACGACGACGACGACGACGACGGCGACGACGACGACCGCGACGACGACGAGGGGAGGGGGAGGAGGAGGAGGAGGAGGAAGAGGAGCCCCCCCCTCCTCCCCGGGGGCAGGCGTGCAAGGTCTACATGCCCGAGGAGCTAGCCCCATGGAGTTGGGCGCGCCGCAGGGGCCAGGAGAGGCAGGGCGAGGAGAAGGAGGAGGAGGAGGAGGAGGAGGAGGAGGAGGAGGAGGAGGAGGGGGAGGAGGGGGAGGAAGAGGAGGGGGAGAGATTTGCTGGCGCAGCACCTTCGAGCTGGCCAGGGCAGTGCTCACGATCCCAGCCTCGGCGACGTCGGCCATGCACTTGTTCACGGCGAGGGCGCAGAAGCTGGCGTCGGGCTTCGGAGTCTTCCGCGCCCCTTGCTTCGGCTGCGCCTTGCGCCTCGCACTCGGCCTTGTAGGAGGCGGCGGCGATGTGCCCTCCAAGCCCTTGCCCATGCCACGGGCCAGGTCCTCGACCACCTTTGGGTTGCTAGCGGCGGACAACTCCCCACTGATGTCCAGGCGGCTCTCGTGAGAGACGGCGTCCGTCTTGGCGGTCGAGTGCTCCCCTGGGACATAGTACTCGGTGAAGTTCTTGTCCTTCTTGTGTTTTGGATTGCTACTGGGGCGCGTCTTTGCCTTGGACAGCAACGCGTCGCAATAGATCATGGCTGGCTCGGACTGGTGCGCGTGATGGTCCGCGTACACCTGGAATTTCGTTTTCCAGACCATCTTCTCCGTCTTCTGGGTACCCTGCGAGCGCGCGTGAGATTCCGAGGCCACCCACTTTGCCATGCTCGGGTCCTCCACCCAGACCTTCAGGAAAGCGAACTTGTCCGCATGCGAGTGCGCCTCCGCCCACTTGCCGCTGACCGTGGGGTCCACAGTTGGGCGATTGACCATCCTGGAGATCGCGGAATACATCTTGTTCCTGATCCCCACGTCGACGTCGGACGGGCTCAACGCATCAAGGATCAAAGCCTTGACGTCATCAGGGACCGCGTAGGGCTTGCCGCCGCACGGGGGCAACGCGGATTGATCTGCGCCTGCAGCAGGTGCTTCCTCAGCAGCCGCCCCCTCAGGTACTTCCTCAGGTGCTTCCTCAGCAGGTGCTTCCTCGGCAGCCGCCCCCTCAGGTACTTCCCCAGCAGGTGCGCCGTCAGAGGCGTGCCGCTCGCCCTCGACCCGCCCGCCCTCGGGCCACTCGCCGTGGAACTCGCCGCCGACTGTCTCCACGAGGGTGTCGCCCGCCGCCTCCTCCTCCACGAGGGCGTCGACAAAGCAGGCCGCCGGGATGGTCTCGGCGTCGGGGTCGGGCCGCGCAATCGCAGCCTTCTCCCCAGTGATGGGCGGCGCACCTGGGCGGCCCCTCAGCGCTGGAGTCGCAGGTGCATCCTGATTGGGGATCCGCGAAAAACGATTTCCCCCCTCTCAGTCGAGGGAGGGGGGGGGGTGAACGATGGGGGGGGGGGGGGTCAGAGGAGTTCAAGGGGTCGGGGTCGAGAAGAGGAGGAGGAGGAGGAGAGGAGGAGGAGGAGGAGGAGGCAGGAGGAGGAGGAGGAGGAGGAGCGGAAGGGATTTTCGCCCCAAAAGCTTTCCCCCCGCACAGTTTCATCATCATCGTGGCGGAGGAGGTCGCAGGGCAGCACGAGGAGGAGGAGGAGGAGAAGGGGGAGGGGGCAGGAGGAGGAGGAGGAGGAGGAGGAGAGCGAAGAGGAGGATGAGAAGGAGGAGGAGGATGAGGAGGAGGAGGAGGAAGGATATCGGAGGACGAGGAAGAGGAGGAGGAGGAGGAGGAGGAGGAGGAGGAGGAGGAGGAGGAGGATCGGCGGGTCCTCCGCGGCAGCGACGTCGGCCGCCTGCTGCGCCGACCTCGAGGTACGCGGCGCGCTCTGGGTTGGCGGCGGCGACTTCGCGGCCGCGGGGGCCGACTCCGCCATGGGCTCAGCAAGCGGCGAGGGCGACGCGGCTGCCGCGGCTGGCGGCGGCGCGGCAGCGGCCGCCTTGCGCCTCGGCGCGGGGGGCGGAGTTGCGGGCGCGGCAGCGGCCGCCTTGCGCCCCGCCGGCGGCGCGGGCACTGCAGGCGGGGGCTGCTCGGCTGCTGGGTCGACCGCCTGGCCCGCGTTGGCCTTGCCCTTCTTACCCTTGCCCTTGCCCTTGGCAGGGGGCGCGGGCGGGGGCGCCGCCTCGCCTGCGTTGGCCTTGCCCTTCTTACCCTTGCCATTGCCCTTGGCCACGGCTGGCTGGCTGGGCGCCTTCGCCACAGGCGGATTGGGCTGACTGGGCGCCTTGGGCACACTGGGCAGCTGCTGACTGGGCGCCTTGGCCGCGCGTATCTTGGGCTGACTGGGCGCCTTCGCTGCGGGCGCTTTGTGCTGACTGGGCGCCTTGGGCACGCTGGGCCGCTGCTGACTGGGCGCCTTCGCTGCGGGCGGCCTGGGCTGACTGGGCGCCTTGGGCACGCTGGGCCGCTGCTGACTGGGCGCCGTCGCCGGGGGCGGCTTGGGCTGACTGGGCGCCTTCGCCGTGCTGGCCTGGGCTGGCGGGGCGCCTCTTGCTTTCTTCCTGACGGAGACCTCGACCTTCGCAGCGAAGCTGCCTCCACTACCCGACGCTGCCGATGCTGCCTCGGCCTTCGCCGCGATGATGCCTCCACCGCTCGCGGCGGCAGGCGTGACTGGCTGGGCGCTCGCCGCGCGCCTCGACCTCTTGGCGGCTGGGGCCGCAGCAGCATCACTCGGCGCGTCGCCTCTCTCAGCGGCCTCGCGCTTCACGGCCTGTGCCCGCGACTTCGCATACTGGAACAGCAACGTCTGCGAGGGCATCGTCGCCCGCGCGACCGAGCTGCTGGCGGAGGCTATGTCGCGGGCACTTCCTGGAGTAAGTCTAGGCCCAAACGGCGTCGACCAGGAGGCGAGGGGAGCGAGCGGGCGTGGCCCTTTCAAGGCTCGCCCCGCAATGCAACGGGGCACGGATGAACCAACTAAATTACCTTCGCGCCCTCGTCTCACCCCTCGCACCGCGGCGAGGCGCGCCAGCTAAGTTACCGACACGCCGATGCGAGGCGCGTCTATCTTCGCGACCTTGCGCCGCCCACCAGAGACAGGCGCCTATATGGCTTGCAGGCCGCGAGAAGCGCGGTTATCCCAGCGCGCGCGGGGGCGGCCCAGGCTCGGCGTCGAGGATGAGGGATGGGGGGGAAGTGGAGGAGGAGGCGGAGATGACGGTGGGCAGGCGGGAGGGGGAGCGGAGAGGGGAGGAGGGGGAAGGGGCGAAATGCGGAGACGGTAGTGAGCATAAGCAGAACAAGAGGTAGGAAGGAATGGTTTATGCCAGGCGGCATCAGCAATAATTCGTACCCCATGGGGTCAGGGCGTTGTGCGCTCAGGCTTATCGATCGCTGGCGCCGTCACATCGCTCGCCGATGTCAGTTTGCACAGCTCACCGGTGCAAAAGTACAGCT